CCGCCTCGCCCGCCCCGCCGCCGCCATCTTGCGCCGGGGCCGCGGGTGTGGAGCGCATGCGCGAAGCAGAGCCCGCGCTTGGGGGAATTACATGGCGCGTGCGCAAAGGCTGCGCGGTCCCCCCCGCCCGCCCGGAGCCATCTTTGTGGCGGGCACCGCCCCGCGGTGGGTGCGGCGCGGTCGTGGTCCCGCCCGCGCTGTCCCGGAGCCGCTTAGTGCGGACCGGTCCTGCCCTCTCACCCGCCGCGGGCGGTTTCCGGCACTGGCAGGGCGCGGTCGCAGCGGTCGCAACCAAAGGGGCTTTTGAAGAGCGGCGGCGCCGGGGTGGGGCGGCGGTCGGGGCGGGGGGGCTGCATTGATGTGCGGGCGCGGGGCGTCCGCCGCCCGCTGGGCACAGCGGTTGTTCCTGCTGCGCTCCAGCCCGGGCCGGCCCTGGCGGCCACTGCTTGTCGTGGCGGTCCCTCGGGCGCACCGCTGACACGTCCGTCCCCACACAATTGCCGTGGCCATTCCCTGGCCCGCGGGTCCCGGTGCCAGGCAGTGAGGGACGCGGTGCAGCGCAGGGCACAGCCGGGTGATCGCTGGGGTCGCTCCCGCGGCCCGTGGCTGCTGCTGCACAGCGTATGCTGGAGGATGACACGGGACGTGGAAGGAGAACACGGCTGTTACTGGGGGTCCCTGTGGGCCGCAGGACCGCCTCGCAGCCTTCGGAGCTTCTGTCGCATCCATCTAGCAGCGCACCCGTCCTGCCTCGGCCCCAGCTCCCTGGGCAGCCGATGGCTGGTGCTTGCCCACGTCCCCGGTGAAGATGGGCTGGGGAAACCGCGGGGCCTCTCCTGCCCTCTTCTTCTGGGATATCCCTGCTGCCCAGCTTTACAAGGGGTTTCCCATCGCCCGGAGTCCTGCCCTCTGCTCCGGGATCACCGGGGTCAGTTTAATGAGTTAACGCTGGCGCAGCAGTTCTGGAGGGGTAAGTGCTGTGTAAGCACTGAGTCTCCCGTTTTGGGCTTCCAGCAGCCCGGCTCTGCTGCCCAGAGCACCGATAACCGCCCGGGGCACAAGGGGCCGGCTCAGACCGACCCCTGGGGGCAGAGGGGACTCTGTGAAGGGACAGTGAAACTCCAGCCTTGGAGCGAGGCAGCTCAAGTGGCCGAGGGGGTGGTGAGGGCAGGGGCAGACTCTCGGCATGGCTCGGCCAGGAAGGATTTTCGGGAAGGAGCCCCGGGCTGAGGAGCTGCCCATCTTTCCCGTGACGGGAGCAGGACGGTGGCATGGGCGCTCATGGGGACACTCCGGCAGTGCCCATCTCAGTGCTGTGACCCTGGCAGCCAAGGTGCCGCTAACACACTGGGCCAGGCCATCCAAAGGCACGTCCTGCAGAACCACTGCTGCCTGCCTTGGGGTCGGGGCAGAGCCTGTGGAGGCAGGCCTGAGGGTCCACAACCTCGGCAGCTTCTCTGCTCAGGTTCACGTTACAGACGGGCATAAACCAACCCCAAGCAGCACCTCCGGCCTGGGGCCGCGGAGTTTGCACTGAAGCTGGGATAGCTCAGCAGTGGCAGAAGCTTCATAACGCAGATTGGGAGTCCCCCGCACCCCAGGCCCTCCCGGACGCCGTTTACACATGTGCCCCTCGCACGGCGGTGCCGGAGAGATACACGGCCGTGGCTGCGTGTGCAGGACGCGCGGAGCGGTGTTTTCGGAGGAAGGAGGGCTTCGTGTCCATCCTGGAGCTGGGGTGGCCAGGCGAGCCGCTGTCTGTGCCGGTGCTGGCAGCCAGCCGGGCTCGGCGGGACACAGACCTGCATCCTCCCCGTCCGTCCGTCCCGCTGTCTCCTCCCAGCTGTGAGCCCGCAAGGAGTGGCAGCTGGGGGCTATATAAAGGCAGGGAAACCTCAGCCAGCTCAAAAGAAAGTCTTGGATCTTGTGTTCTCCCTTCCTCCTGCCTTCACGTGATTAAGCTTTCCCCACGCCGGGAGCCGAGGACAAGCCTCGCTGTAAGTACCCGAACTGAGCCGGCATTGTGTAGGGGAACCCCCCAGCCTCTGGGCACCACGGTGGCTCCGGGCCCCGGGGAGGGGGTCCCACATCCTCTCCCTAAAGGGAAACAGGGGAAGCTATTGGGGGGCCCCGTCCCATCCCCCAGCCTCGCATGGAGCTCCGCCTGTTGCTGCGGGATGGACAGGTTCCAGCTCCCATCTCAAACCAGCCTGGGGGCTGGCGGCACATCTCGGGGGGGTGCTGTGAGGGTTGTGGGACGGCCCCACGGGCGAGGTTTCGCTCCTCTGCGAAGTGCTGGGGCTCCCCTTTGCAGCAGCACACATGGGGCTGGCGCCTGTCCCTGTGGTTTGGGGAGTGGGCTGTGTTCAGGGCGGGGGGAGTGCTGGAGTGCGTGTTCCCAGATGTGGGACCCTCGGGCTCCACAGGGCCAGTGCTGGGGCTTGTGGATAGAAACCTGCGGTGGGGGCCGTGCCCCTCGTGGGCTGCTGGTCTAGAGGTTTCGGGCAAAGGCAACCTGGGCAGCACTGGGGGGGTTCCAGGGAGAACAGTGGAGCGGTGGGGTGTTCCTTGGAGCTATCCCCTGCCGCAGGCAGGCTGGGTAGTAGCTGCTTCCCTTCCAATGTGTCCCCCCAGGCCTGTCCGTGCTGATACCCGTGCATGTCCTCAGGCTAGTCTGTGCTGACCCTGCTTTCTGCCTCCAGGTACGAGATGGCTGCCGGCAGCTGCCTCCTTCTCCTCCTGCTGCCCTCGTTGGTCATAGCCTTGCACAGCTCTCCTGGCTGTAAGATCCGGATTACTTCCAAGGGACTGGACCTGGGTAAGGGGCCAGCCAGGATCTCGCAGCCTGGGAAAGAGGGACGTTAGGCACCCTCCAGGGGTCTGTGCTTGTGCAGGGTTCTGCCTGCACTGCTCCACCATGGGGCGGCCAGAGAGGAGTGGGGGCTGTCAGGGGCCATGCTGCCGGCAGGGCACGTCCCAGCCCAGCCTCGTTCTTCCCTGCAGTGAAGCAGGAGGGGCTGCGCTTTGTGGAGCAGGAGCTGCAGAACATCACAGTGTCAGACCTGCATGGAAATGAGGGGCAGTTCCAGTACAACATCAGCCAGTGAGTGCTGCCTGCTGCCCGCAGCTTCTCAAGTCCATCTGTCCATCTAACCACCCTGTCTCCTCCCTGCAGAGTCAAGGTGACAGACCTGCAGCTGGCTTTTGCGGACCTGAACTTTCAGCCCCAGCAGCACCTTGTCTTCAACATCAACAATGCTTCCATCAGCCTACGCTTCCGCAGGCAGCTGCTCTACTGGTTCTTGTGAGCTGCCTCCCTTCCTGCTGCTCTGGGTGCTAGCCCACCCCTCAGCTGTGTTTGCTGGGTGCCACAGATGCCTTGCTGTCCTGCAGCTGACAGGAGCTGTGTGCTCCTCTCATCTGCTTTACTGATTTCCAGCTACGACATTGGGTCCATCAATGCCTCTGCGGATGGTGTCCACATCTACACAGTGCTGCAGTTGGCCAAGGATGAGGCTGGGCGCCTCAAGATCTCCAATATGACCTGCAATGCCTCCATAGCCAGAATGCATGCTGGCTTTTCTGGCACTCTCAGGTACATCTGACCCCTCTACCTGTCTCCTTGACACTCTTCCCACACCCTCGGTGCTTCCTCAGCCCAGCTGTGAGCTGAAATAGGCACAGAGCCACAGGGAGAACAGGCAGTGCAGAACCACTCTTGTGTCCTCCAGGAAGGTCTATGAGTTCTTGAGCACCTTCATCGTCACAGGGATGCGCTTCCTCCTCAGCCAGCAGGTACAGCTAAATGTAGAGGAGAGGGGCTGTGGGCTGTTAGGGCTCTGCCCTTTGTGTGTGGGAGAGGGCAGAGTTGTATCCTGCCTGTCTGCTGGGCCTTGTCCTGCCTCTGCAGCTCCTCATCGAGTCCCGGGAGTGATTCCCATCAGCCTGGCTCCTTGCCTTGCAGATCTGCCCATCCCTGGAGCATGCCAGCATGGTGCTGCTGAACTCTTTGCTGGACACAGTGCCTGGTGTGTGTTGCCCTGGGAAAGGGACTGGGTCCCATTCACTGTGGGGCAGACAGGGCTGGGCATCAGGCTGCTAGGCAGCTCCAGGCTAAGTCACAGCAGCATATCTTCCCTGGCAGTGAGGAACTATGTGGATGAGCACGTTGGGATTGACTACTCCCTCCTACGGGATCCGTCCATCTCCACTGACACCCTTGACCTCGACTTCAAGGTGAACACTGGGTCCTGCCTTGCTGGTCCTTCCCCATCCCTGTGGGAAAGGCTGTGCCAGCAGGCAGGTTTGGCTTCATGGAGCAGGTGAGGTGGGCTGCCCCGTGGCTGTGGGAACCTCTCCTGCTCTTGGTCTAGGGCATGTTCTTCCCTCGGGTGAGAGAGGACCAGGAGCTGGAGAACCACGCGGTGGAGCCGGTGATTAAGGAGACTGAACGCATGGTTTATGTTGCCTTCTCTGAATATTTCTTCGACTCAGCCATGCACTCGTACTTCCAGGCAGGAGTGCTGACCATAGAGCTCCAGGGGGAGAAGGTAAGGAGCACCTGACACTCGGAGGGGTGGGCTGTGTCACAGAGCAAAGACTGCCATCCAGGGAGCAGCTTGCTTCTCCTCCAGTGGTTTGTGCTCCCCACAGGTGCCCAAGGACCTGGAGGTTTTGCTGAGAGCCACATTCTTTGGAACAATCTTCATGCTGGTAAGGAGCCCCTGGACAGGGTGGAAGGCATGGCAGAGCACCGCCCTGCCCTGCTCCTAGCTTCCAGCTCATCTGCCTTCCCCAGAGCCCTTCTGTGGATGCTCCGCTGCGGCTCGTGCTGCAGGTCTCTGCTCCTCCCCGCTGCATCATCAAACCCTCGGGGACCTCAGTCTCTGTCTCTGCTTTCCTGAACATCTCACTGGTGCCCCCAGACCGTCCTCCTGTCCAGCTCTCCAGCATGGCCATGGTGAGGAGGGAGCTGGGGCTCCTTATGCAGTCACCCCAGTGTATATGGGAGCAGTGTCCCCCATCCTGTGTTGTTAAGGTACTGATGTCACCAAGCAGAGGGACACTGGACCTGTGCGATGAGCTGGCCTGTTTGTCCTCTGCCTGCTGTGAGTCAGCTCTCTCCCTCCCCAGGAAACCAAGCTGAGTGCCAAGGTATTTCTGCAAGGGAAGGCATTGCGTGTGCAGCTGGACCTAAGACGGTATGGCTGGGGTCCCAGGGGGGCATGGGGAGAGTCCCCTCCAGACCCTGCTCACAGCTGCTTCCTTCTCTCCAGGTTTCGCATCTATTCCAAGCAGTCAGCGCTGGAGTCGCTTGCGGTGAGAGCATGGTGATGGCTTGGGAACCCTTAGACCCAGCCACAGTGTGGGGTGGGCTGGGGAGAGGCTGTCCATGCAGGATCCCCACTTACAGCCCTCCTTAACCTGGCTGGCAGCTCTGCCACTACACTGACCCGAGCTCTTCTCCTGCAGCTGTTCTCACTGCAGGCCCCACTGAAGACCCTGCTGCAACTGACCATCATGCCCATCATTAACGGTAGGTATCATTGCTCCCATTCAACTGGTAGTGTAAGCAGGGGCTCAGCCTCATCCCATCTTCCTCTCTGCAGAGAGGACAAAGAAGGGGGTGCAGATCCCACTGCCTGAAGGCATGGACTTCACCAGGGAGGTGGTCAGCAATCATGCGGTATGTGGTGGGACAGCCTGTGCCTCCATGTCCTGCTGGGAAGGGAATTGTCACCTCCAGCCTTGCACTGACCCTCTTCCCTCTGCAGGGATTCCTCACAGTGGGAGCTGATCTCCACTTCTCCAAGGGGCTTCGGGAGGTGATTGAGAAATACCGCCCAGTGCCAACTGCTTCTGCCTACTCCAGCTCCCAGCCCACAGAGCCCAGCCTGGACCCCAGCTCACTCTAGCTCTCCTCCCTGGACCAAGGGCAGATCCTGGGCTGGACCCATAGACTGTAGGTAGGAAGCAGCTTCCCTGGTACCACCAGCACATTGTCAGGGCTTCCAGGCCCTGGTGGGGCGCAGCAAGGTGGAGAGGGTGCTCTGGGAACCCCTGCTGCACCCCTGCTCATTACACTAATAAACCACCTGACTCCAACCACATAGCCTTGTTGCTTGGAGGACATTGTCCATGCTGGGGTACATGGTGAGGAGATGGAAAGGAGGCAGCTAATGCTGCCCAGCTTAGGTCCTTGGGAGCAGACACAGCTTAGTGCAGTGCCAGAGGGCTCAGAGTGACTGTGCTGCTACCATTTAGGTGGGTCCTTTGTTTCCAGGAGGAAGGGACCCCTGCAGACAGGGCATAGCTCACAGCCCAGGGCTCCCTGGCACAGAGCATTGGCACTCACTGGTGCTCCTCAGAGAGCAGAGGAAAGCGAAGCAGGAGCTGGCACAAAGGTGCGAGAAGGAGCAGAACCACCTTGGTCAGAGTTTATTGCAAGTTCCTGAAGCACTGCATGCCCTAGCAGTGGGATTGTTGTGGTAGTGGTGGTAAGTCTCCTTCAGTGGGAGCAGAGGTGGTGAGAGCCAAGGTAGAGGTGAACAGGACCCAGGTGCCCCCTGCTGCTGCTCCTCAGCCTGCCCAGGCCGTGTGCATATGGGTTTGAGAGGAAGTGCTGGGGACTGCTCTCTGCCTGGGAGGGAAGCAGCTGCCACTGCAGACAGGGAGGAGGCAAGACAGGAAGCCACAAGGGGGGAAGTGGCTGCAGCAGGTGCGCACTGCCTCTCCTGCAAGGACAAGAGTCCTTGAGCCTATGCCCCCCACCCATAGCAGGCAGCCCTGTCCAGCCAGGGGGGAAGGCTGCAGGCATGACACATCCATGGCGTAGCCGAGCAGCAGCGAGGACAGGCTCTGCAAGGTGCCAGCGACGAGGGCAGGTGGGGTGGTGAGAGCAGCTGGAGCACCAGGCACTATCTCTGCAGCTCTTAGTAAGGCTGGTTCTTAATGAAGCGGCAGAACATGGTGAAGGCAGCAAGCGGCCGGTCAGTGGGCACCATGTGGCCAGCTCCCTGTAGGAAAGGTGCAGAGGTTGTCAGTGTGGCTGGGGTGCTGCCACAGCCCAGCTGACACCACCCTACCCTGACTGGAGCCTTGGTGTCCAGCACACCCACCCACAGCCCCATCCCTGGCCCCCAGCCCTACCTTGACAGTGAGGAAAGCAATGTTGGTGAATTCCTTCACAAAGCCACCGATCTGGTTCTCACCGTTTTCAGTGTAGAGCCAGGGCCGACGAGCCACCTGCACCTGGGAGTAGCAGCAGAGTATTCAGCACCTGTGGCTGGCTCTGGCCATGCTCCTGCCACATCCAGGTACAGCACATAGCCCAGAGCCAGTGACTGGCATGGCCTGGGCCCTGCCCATTTACCTTCTGGCACAGGGAATCCACAAACCACTCATCCCCGAGAAAGTTGCAAGCCATGTCTACGTCCCCATTGTACACCAGGATCCGGTATTTCTGTGTAGCAGACAAGAGGGTGAGCTGTTGGCAGGGCAGCAGCCCCAGCCAGGTAGGATGAGCTGGCAGAGACACTCCCAGTCTGTGGGCTCCCCTGCACACACCGTGGTTCCGAGCAGCTTGAGGTACTGCTCATTCATCTGCATGTACAGGCGCTTGTAGCTGCGGTTCACGTCAAAGCTGTGAAGGAAGCATTGGCATCATGTCTGCTCATTCTCAGAGTCGTCCCTCCCTGTCCACAGCTTGCTCACCTGCACACCTGCCACTCTGGGGCCTCAGGGGAGATGTGCAGAGCCTTCCGCACCTCGGGGGAGTTCAGATACATGCTAGGGGCTGTGGAGTTGGTACAGGGTGGGTCCATCCGGACCTTCTTTCGGGCTACTGGCATCCGGAACAAGTTCTGGGAGAGTTGGGAGAGTCACTGTCACAGCAGCACCTGCCCCATGGAACAGCTGCTTTCTGCCCCTCTTGCCCACAACAGCACAACTGGCTGAACAGAGGCTGCTCACAGCCCAGCAGCGTGAGCACTGCTGCTCACCTGCCGCCAGGAGAACCTCAGGGGCATCCGGATGAAGGAGTTTCCCAGGTCATGTGTGATGAGATAATCGCCCTCGTACCTGTAGCCAGAGTGAGTATGAGGACAGACTGAAAACCCTGGAGAACAAGGGCTAAGAGCTCTCCTGGGGGGAGTCCTCAGCAGCAGCCACACACCATGCATTTGTCTCAGAGGGGCACTCTGCCCAGCCCACCATGTCCCTCTGTGCCAGTACAACCAAAGCGAGCTCGTGCCTATAGAACCATTTTCCCTGGGGCCACTCTTACCTCATGCTCCCTGGGACACCGCCATCACATGGGGCATAGAGGTTGTAAATATTGAGGCCAGACTCTTCTACAATCTGAATCATCTCCCCCATCTGCAAGGAGCCGTAAGAAGGGTTTGTGACTTAGCAGGATCCTTGTGGAACTGTGGGCCCACTGAGAACCAGGCACGTGTTGTTCAGCACATGTATAGGCTCTGGTTCCCTCACCTTGAGTGTGCAGTTCAGGTTGGAGTTGTCATGGAAGTTGCATTTCCCCTGGGAGCAGCAGAACTCCTGAAGGTCTTTCCACAGCCTGCAGGCAGAGACCAGGACTACCTGGGCCAGGTGGCAACACTGACCTGACAGCTCTCTGCCCAGTGGCCACAAAGCACACAGCTTAGCCCCGTGCCCTCTTTACCCCACAAACAAATGCACCCATGGGAGCTGCCTGGGACAAGGAGCCACAGCCCAGCTGCTGGCCCAGGGCAGGCTAGGTACTGCCCTTGTCTCAATACCACCCACCCAGACAGCCCCAGCCTCAGCTGTGCACCCATCCTGCTTGCACAGGGATGGCACAACCAACATTCCCTCCGCTCTTACTCAGTCCCCAGCAGCCCGTGGTAATAGGCAAAGTAAACCAGGGAGTTGTCATTGATCTCATAAGATGAGAGGCCGTTTCCCACAGCGATTCCCTGCGAGGCAAGAAGAAAACAACCCTGTTGTGTTCCAGCTCCCCGCGGGGCAGTCACAGCACAGCAGCCACAGGCAGGAAGCAGATGTGGAACTGTTTACTCTGCAGAGGGAACAGGGAGGGTTGGGGGTGCCTGAGGACGCTGCCCCGGCAGCAGGGACAGACACGTCCACCTGCAGTTGCTGCCAGAACCCCAGGAAGAGATGAAAGGCTGCTGGGCCAGGCGTGCCCTACATCCCGGCTGGTCCCACCCTGGCTGTGCCAAGCCCTCTGCTCCCCAGCTAGGCAGAGCCAAGCTGCCCACCTTCAGGTTGAGGCTGGGGTCCTGCATCACCCACTCTGCCAGTGTGGGAATGTAGACCCCTCCATAGCTCTCCCCTGTAAGGAACAGATCATTCTTGGAGTACTCGGGGAAGAGCCGGAGGAAGTCCTTCAGTGCCAGGTAGTTGTTGTGAGCAACCTGCAGGGAGAAGGTGGCATGGTCAGGTGGTGAGGCTGTACTCTATGCCCAGGAGAGGGCAGGCAGGGGAGCAGGGCTCTCCCTACACCCCAGTCACTCGCCTCTGTGTCATTTGTGGCATACTTCTTGTCATCAGAATATGAGAAACCGACACCAGCAGGAGACTCCACATAGAGGATGTTGGCAATCTGCGAGGACAGCAGAGGAGCCAGCAATCAGGGGAGACCATCTGGCTCAGTGGGGCCAAGGGCTGCTGGCCCCACCCACGGCAGCACCCGCAGGAGTATGGCCCGCCCCAGAGCTGTGCTGGGGTGGCCACATTCCTGTGCTGCTCAACAGCAGACTCAAGAGGAGGGTGTGTTGGGTGGGAGGGGAGCGGCGGGAGGGTCGGCTCCATGGAGAGGGCAGGAGGAACTCGCTCAGGGCCACCCCATCTTGAAGCCACAAAGGGAAGCAGCGCCTGTACCTTGTTCCATGCGTACTCATTGTACTTCAGTGTGACCCCATCGGGCTGGATCTGAGGAAGAAGGTGGTGACTTTGGGCAAAGCAGGGCAGGACACAGCAGGATGGCTCATGCTAAGCAGCCGGTCATCCCCTAAGTCCTTGAGCCACGGGATAGCAGTGACTACTAACCAGGAAGGGGCCATGCTCCTTCAGGAAGCCCTCCATGGAGCTGCAGCCAGGGCCCCCGTTCAGCCACAGCACCAGGGGGCTGCTCTGGGGATTGCTCTGGGCCTCCACGAACCTGCGGATGTACAGCTGTGAGTGCCCGCTGCCAGCCGATGCCCCCCCATCGCCAGGTGCAGTCCCACGTACCAGTAGTGCAGGTACTTGCCCGGCCCGGCGCAGAGGTAGCCAGAGAAGTGGCGGAAGGAGGGCTGCTTTGGCAGCCCGGGCAGGTACGTCACCTCATGGTCCGGGGGGGCGGCCCGGCACAACCCCAGCAGCAGCAGCGACGACAGCAACACTGGCCCCATCTGCGGTGGGCGGAAGGGACGGTCAGGGCGCCGTCGGCCAGGAACGGCCGCGGCAGCGCCCCGCGAGCGCCCCGGCCCCGCTGCCCAGCCCCGGCCCCCCACTCGGGGCTGCTCCCAGCCCGGCACAATCGGCTCCCCTGGCGCGGGTCCCAGTCCCTCCAGCCCATCCCCCCGGTCCCGTCCCGGTGCCCCCCGGTCCCGCTGACCGCGGCCGCTCCCGGCGCGGCGCTCGCAGGCGGCGGTCACGGCGGGCACATGACACGCGCCCATATGACCTGCGGCGCTCACGTGAGCGGGGCGGGGCCCGGCGGCGCCCAATCAGCGCCCCGGGGGCGGCCGGTCCCGCCCCGGCCCCGCCCGCGCACGTGGGAGCGGCCCGGGACCGGGACCGGGACCAGGCCCGTGCGGGGGGCACCGACAGAGCCCCCGCACCCCAACGGGGTAGCCGGCGGGCACTGCCGGGCACCACCGGTTACAGCTGGGTGTCGGGCACTGCTGGGTATAGCCGGTATGGCTGGGTACCACCGGCCACTACCACCGGCCACTACCACCGGCCGGTGGGGAACACCAGCTGGGTGCCACCCAGCAGCGCTGGGTAAAGCCGAGCATCACCGTGTGATGACCACCGGCCACTGCTGGCTATAGCTGGTATCACTGTGCACCTCCGGACACTGCTGAACAGCATGGGCACAGCCAGGCACTCTGGCCCAGGTG